GCACTCTTAAGCAGTTATGAGCAGCAGGCTGTGTAATATGTGTGAACTCTTTTATTTTTGTTATCACTTGGCCATTTGACTTATAGCAGTGTCCAGTGTTTCCCATACATTGAGTTATTACTTCGTTGAATAAACTGATCACTGCACGTTTGAAAATTAAAATGCAGCGTGAGTGTTTTTATATGAAAGTATCTTTGAAAAAACCGACGGTCTTCAGAAAAGCTTCGGTGTCATTTTCATTTCGTCTTTCCTGTAATGCCTGATAAAGTAGCGTTTGTGAGCGCAGTCACAGTGCTTATTTGATTACAGTCGTTACCGGGGAAGCCGCTATATCTCCCGCTGCAACAGCGCCTCCTGCTGGCGGAGAATGAATTTGCATTTGCAAGTCTGTGGGAAACACTGGTGTCTGTCAGCAAACATAAACAAAAAGCATGCTTCAGAACTGTTTTGAGAAGGTGCTTAAGTTTTGAGCCATGTATTATTACTCTGAATTAGGCTACTACTACTATTACTATCTTGTACCCTGCAATAATCATTCACTCAAACTCACTTTTATGAGATGAAGAAAAAAAGAAAAAAAGAAAATCGGCCAAACATATCGGCCAAAAAAACCGGCATCATATATCGGCCATCGGCTGCCCTGATTTCTAAATATCGGCATCGGCCAGAGAAAAACCCATATCGGTCGACCTCTAGAGTTCACAGAGATCAATATAACTAACATAACACTTACACTACTGTTCAAAAGTTTGGGGTCAGTATGATTATTTTTTGGAAAGAAATTAATACTTTTATTCACCAAGTATGCATTAAAATTAATCAAAAGTGACAGAAAAGACTTTTACATTGTTGCAGAAAATATATTTAAAATAAATGCTGTTCTTCTGAAAGAATCCAGGAAAAAAAGCAAAACAATTAGGCCTGTTTTCAACATTGATAAAAAGAAAAATTTATTGAGCACAAAATCATCATAGTAGAATGATAATATGAAGATGTATCATCTCAAGAATAAATAAAAAATTTAAATAATAAAATAGAAAATAGCTATTGTAAATTTTATTTCATAATATTACTGTTGTTACTGTCTTTTTTGATCAAATGCAACCTTACTAATCATAAGAGACTTTTCAAAAAAAATAAAAAATGTATACAATAGTGAATATTAAAATAGAGAAATTTCTATGATTTTCCCTGGACTAGAAATCAAAATTTCCAAGACTATGGGAGTGCAGTTCTTAAGAAAAAACTTAAGTACTAAAGACTGTTGTTGACTTGCTGTTTCAAATGAACACTTTTGAGTTTTGAATCTTGCAGAACACTTGGAAATGTGCTGAGACCCCCTAGCGGGCCCGTGGTCCCCTGGATGAGAACCACTATACTAGTAGACAAAATGTGGAGTGATTTCAACTTCACAAGCCACACCCACTCCACTCATGTCGACTTCCTAGCCATTCCGTGGGAATAAGAGGACCTAAACACCAACTAATCATAAACAAGTATAACAACATGCCCATATTTCTCAGAATTTGAGGCAGCCTGGGACACAAAAAGTTAGTTGTAGTATGTCTACCACACTACTTTCAGGGCACTGTTCAACTACAGCTACAAATACGGCTATCAGAAAGTCTCCATCTGGCTTCCAAAGGTTTACATTCCACAAAGTAAATAGAGCTCATAAACGGATGGATTCCTGCAGCTCCCAAAAGAGCGCTGTCATTATGAAGCTGGTACAGGACACGCTCATTTGACTGGAGACAAGCTGTTAAGCAAAGTTACAATGCGTATGCGGATTTCACGGACTTAAAACACTCATTCACCTCGCTTGATCTGGAACCCTGCTGTGACGATAAGCTCTGTCCGAGACCTTACAAGATGACTAAATGATCTTCAGACGGCTTTGTTAAGTCTACAGGCAAGGCCACAACTTTCAGGAAGCGAGGCAGTCTTGTAAAGTAATTAATACATGCACGAGGAGGCACCTTGAAATAGACTGTCCTACATCCAGTAACCAGCATTACCAATTTTAGAAGTCAAAGCAAACGAATTCCAGGTCATTAAAAGTGGCATATGAAACATGAGAAGGCTGTGCAACAGTGATGAAGTAATCGGTTCCCCACAGGTATGACATACGGTAATACTAAAATACTTGGCTCTGTATCAAACAGTTGACAAATACCTAACATGCATTCACTAACCAACAGACTGTTCCGTTACTACTGATGCCTTTGGTTAGACATTGTATTTCTTAAAAATCACATGACGCCACTGATAAGCTTGATACTGGACACAACAGACAAATAACTTCACATATCACATGGCCCTACTTCACCCTGAGGTCAGTAAGTCAGCAAACTTTCCACAACATTATAAAACTTTCAAAAAGGCAGCAACCAAGAACTGAAACAAACCGTTTTAGTTTCACTACTAAGCCTTTGAGATAAGTGTAACCATCCATAAAGGTTCAGCACTATCACAAACACTACTCCAGACCCCACTGACACTCAAAGAGTGTTTTGACAGCACATTATCACAAGGTTCAGGGTCCTGTGAAGTAATACACTGATAGGTTCAACAGCTCCATCAGAGAGTGCTGACTGAGCTGGTTAATCTTTGCAGTGAAAACATACTCCAGGTTTGAGAGAAACTTTGTTGATCGATAACAAAAATGGTTAAATTCTTCACCGCTAAAGTTATCTGGATGGACTCCAGAGGTAGAAAAGCCCAGAAAAAATTCTGACAGGGTCACTGCACAAAAAGGGGGCCTTTTGTGTCCCTCATGAACAAGTCTAAACAATGACTTTAACAATAACAAGCTGAGACCAGCTTGTACTATGTGTTGTTATAGGCATTTCTCTTTAGCAAAAATGCAGGTTAATTTTACTTTCTTTTTCCATGAGAATGCATTTTGGCCTGTCCCCAGGGTTTCTAAAAATTTATGATTTTTTTCCCCATTTTTTTCCATTTACAAACACATGTGACACCCATGTTGTTGTAAAATATCATAATTAGTTTTGCATAACTAAAAAATAACAACAACAAATTGAATCCTGAAAATATAATACATACCAGTTTTTTATTTTTGCTCTCATCCTCACTGGATTTCTTTTTGGAGGGTTTATTTGGTCCTCCCCTCCAGCTGCCTGCTGATCCATCTTTGGAATGAAACTTCACTTGAACAGTAACTTTGCTTAGTATTTCCCACGAGTTTGCAAACACTTATCAAAAATCACGTTTCTTCAAAAGCCATGCCATCCATGAAGAAAGAAACAAAATATGAGTTGGATCCTAAACTATTTCATGTACATATCCAGTGGAATATGATGTAACATCTGTGTATGAAGCTGTCCAAAAAAATAAGGTGTGGTGATATTCAGTCCAAAACAACTACTCCGAGTCTGAGGGGAAAATAACAAACCAACATGTTATAAATTACATTTCGGAAGTGTTTTGTAATGTCAAATATATTAAAGTACATGGAATAGCTAGAATAAAAGATATAAAGCTATATATGCACTGTCAGTTAAGAGCTTGTGAACTTTTGTCTATTTTAATACATCAATGTAACATTATAACAATCATCTGAGGACACACTTTTGCCTTTTAGTAGTCAGTTTAACAATGCGTTTAATAAATTCGTAATTTCACACTCAAACAATTATATAACATAATTAGAGACTTGTAAAAAGTCAAAAGAGGTCTGTGAGTTTTATACAAAATGGCATGATATTTTATCAAATGAACACAGCCTACCTGATTTTATTCAAAGGAGAAATGACCGCTGCTATCTAGGCGGTTACTTTCACACAGGAAACTGTTATTCCAGCGCTATGTGGTTTAAAGAAAAAGTGTAAAATAAAGACATGGGCTCTAAACGCCAAGTCTGCTTACATGGACATAGCGAATTAATATTAAACAGCCAAATACTCAAGTAATAATATAGAAAACTCACAAAATCTCATCCAAGGCTTACCTACACAACCAAACGCACGAGCCAGGCCCACTATTGTCCCCGCCTATGGACGCTTCCCAATGCTCGTGAATAGTCACATGGTAGAAAGATTTCAGCACTGATTGGTCACTTGAATGTTACAGCTTGACGTGGGAGGGGGGTTTCATCACTCGTAGGGAGGAGACCGCTTGCTTTGGCTATATTGGAGAACTGACTGCTGTGCATATGGATAGGCTTAAATCAGCGGAAAGTCAAAATTATTTGCATAGCAGCGCAAATCAGTGCATTGG